ACAACACACCCTTGACAGCATCAACGCAACCCAATTGCTTCCGGAGGCACCTAGGACTCTTCAGCGCCCACTGGGTAGGGACCATTTTGGGAAACTGCTCTAAACGACTATCCATAATTTCTAATACAAATATCTAATACTTGGGAAAAAATCTTCGAAAGTAATTTTTTTCCTTGTAATAGTATTATTATTATTATTCAAATATTGATCATGACCAAAATTATTTTGAACTTTGACAAATATGCACGTCAATAGATGGCATTGTGTGTTATAAATCAATTAACACTTCCTAATACGGGTAGATATCGCTAATCCTAAACAATATAGTCGGCACTATCCATAAAAATCTGTGTAATAAGCGCCATCTAGTAGATTTCTTTGTTATCACTAGAAATTAGAATAGCTTTGATAAATTGCAGCTCGTCCATTGACGACTACATCTACATTTAGAACAAAAAAATAGCTACTTGGTACTTACCGTGACATCCGCTGTACCAATAGATACTAAATATCCGACTACGCTGTCTAGTATCGCAATTAGCAGTGTTCTTGGGTTATTGGTCCATGATGGTCCTTCGTACCCTTCGTATAGGGTACGAAGTTATATTTATAATAGCTATTTGATACTCGTCGCGACATCCGCTGTACTAATAGGTACTAAATACCCGACTACGCTGTCTAGTACCGCAATTAGCAGTGTTCTTGGGTTATTGGTCCATGATGGTCCTTCGTACCCTTCGTATACCAAGAGTACGAACACATATTGCGCTAGGAAACTTTTTCCAAATCAACTAATAGCTATTTGATACTCGTCGCGACATCCGCTGTACTAATAGGTACTAAATACCCGACTACGCTGTCTAGTATCGTAATTAGCAGTGTTCTCGGGTTATTGGTCATGGTATACCAAGGGTACAAAGTCATATTGCGCTAGGAAACCTGTTCCAAATTAAATAATCTTACAGAAAAAAAAACTCTAAATCCGTTACCACAGTTATTTCCCCAGACAAGACTACGAGATGGGCATCCGCCCACATGCGGCCAGCATGGTGATCCGTCGGCCGGACGTGGCTCTTTCAGTCCTGGGGTCAATATCGGCACCACATACGCCCACCGCACCTCACTCCTCGCCCGAAACGCCATTTGGACCTCCACCGAAATTGGGAATTGGAGCCAGATTAAAAGCCGCCAGTTTCTCGTACAGAACCCGACCGCATAGGGACCGGTCGCCAAAGATAAGAGAACAACCTAACGAAGGTATGTCTTTTTTACAATTATTGTTATTAATCACTAATTCCAATACTCAATACTCAATACTCAATATATTTATTGCATTCATATGGTAAACATGTCTTAAAGTTAAAATAATGCTACACATATGAGCCCTTTATTAGGGATAACAATAACAGCAGAGGTAGGCCGAGGTTTCAATTATTAATTAAAATTGTTATTTATCAAATAACAATAATAATAATATTAATTATAATATAATAATAATTCCCCATGTGACGTTTATGTGGTTCAAAAAGAATCATACCGATACCTCCCACAAAGTTGTTGTAAGTCAAAATACCATTATTTTTACTTTTTAAGTTAAATATATACCTTTTTATGAATTATTATAAATTCTATATTTAAAATAAAAAAATCAGTTATGTTTAGTTTCATATAATTCCGATTTTTTCGTTCCATACAATGAAATGATCTTTACATGAAACTGAGTCGATCATCAGCATTTAAAAAATGTTGATCAATTTGAATCATTTTGCATGGATAACTCACACTTGACCAAATAATTCACTATACCATTATATTTTTATTCAATTAAAATATAGTTTTATTACTTTATTTATATCAGCTTTGTCATCTCTTGAGTTATTGTTACCTCTTACAATAGGACAGCTAAATACTCTCTACGAATGTCATATTAAATGCATGGGAGCATTTAATGTTAAAATTTTAGATATTTCTAGTTTTATTATTAAAAAGTTTTGATGTCGATTTACTCATTAGGTAACGTACTTTCGATATCAGTTGCAAGCTTTTTGAAACCTCTTATGTTTTTTAAATAATCGCCTGGGCACACTTAACGATTATACCCCGTGTAATTATACTCTGTAAATGTACATCCAGCCTATTCAATGATTTAATTAGTTAAAAACAAAGTGACTGACAACCTTACTTCTTGTATTCAGGGTCACGGTCATCAATATCGAACGGCGCGCCTGGCTCTTTCCGTTTCCGGTCGATCACCACAGGATCCTTCTTCCGTAGCCGAAGCCGAGACAAGCAGCTGGAACCGCCTCCGCAACATCAGAGTAACGGAGACATGATCACAACTAGAATGTGAACCGACACAACACACAAGATTTAAGAGAATGTTATTAAATAGAAGTGAGAATAGAATAAGGGCGTATCTGTATTTAATTTTTCGAACAAAATTAAATATAGAGACATTAATTGCATAGTTTGGAAAGGGTAGTAATAAAAGTTCCGAAAATTAAAAATTAACTTATTCAAATTATTAATATTACTGCGCTATTTACCAAGCTACTGAAAACTTTTGTGTAAATAAAAGTACGGGAACAACCGAATTAAATACTTAAAGTTCCGAAAAGTCTTACTGACGGAATATAACTCTACCAACCTAATTTATATTGTGCCGAAAACTATTGGTAGCCATTTTTATTGTAAATCGCCTGTTATAATTTTGAAAGCCACCTTATGCATTTCATAAACTTTGGTGCTATGCTAACTTCATAAGCCGTGGTGACACATCTCAAGCAGAGTACGTCGGTTCAAATCCGGGCACGCACCTCTGAGTTTCTCGAATTTACGTGCTAATTTAATTTGAAATTTACCAAGATTTTTTCGATGAAGAAAAATATCGTGATGAAACCTGCACGACGAAGAAGCTTCACAACCCTCGGAAAATGTGTGAAATCCCCAACCCGCATTGGGTCAGCGTGGTGGTGCATGGTCTAAACCCTCGCCTGAGAGGAGACTCATGCTCAGCAGTGGGACGTACAAATGGGTTGACGATGAATGACAATGATGAAACTTTGGTGTTTCTTAAACTATTTTTAAATTTCGTCATGCGGAAATACTGTTATGAGTGACAACATGTGACATTATGACGTATTTCTTTCGGAAGTTTATAGTCGTCACCAAATAAGAGGCCAAATTTGACATTTGTCATCGTGACGCGAAAAGGGATGTGGACTAATCATATCGGTAATCATATTATACTATTTTCACCTGAAATCGCTTCAAAATTTTAGAGTTTGTGATTGTTTAGATTATTTTTTGATTCATTGTTGTTTAGGGGGCCTAAAAGGCCAAATCGTGCAATTCTGTTAAAAGCAATTCATTTACAGAATTCCTTGCAATTCTGTAGCAATTCCTCTTATTTTCGAAAAATTCTCCCACATTCCGAAGAATTGTACCCATGTCTTTTAATTTTGATTTTATAATATTCGTAAATGGTTTATTACGATAATTTAGTGTAAATAAGTATGTTCATCGATAAAACAACTACATAAAAAGATGAAATTACCAAGAAACCAAAAATTTCATAAATTTTCAATTCAAAAAGAAAAGGAAATAGAAATCTGGCTTTGAGTACGGGGCTCTTTTAAATTTGATAAATTATAAATTTATTTGCAATAGATAAGGTCATAGATATAATATACATAATTATTTAAAATACACCTATTTTTATACATTTTGTTTTAATATTCAATAAGTCACTATTTTTTCCGAGAAATCGAAGTGACTCGGTGAATTTCGGCGATTAATTCCTTACAACACTATTATTTTAAAAAAATAGCTTAAGGACGAAACTGTTTTTAGGACGTTTCAAAGTAACTCAAAATTGTTATAATTTTAATATAATTAATTTTGACGGTATATTCTGTTTACTTTTCAGTAACTCATTTTAATGCAGCAATATTAAATCTCAGTTCGCTGCAATTGCATATGTTTTTCGGAACTTTTATTATTTCTCATGTATGGGAAAACACTTGTCAAGACATTAAAGTCTTGGCTTCTACGCCTACCACATGACTTTCACAACTAAGTTTTCTCGAATTATGTTCCGTTTAGTTTTTATTTAGGTACTAGTTATAACTTACTTAAACGGTGAAGAAATACACCATGTTTAAACTTGTATGTCAAGGAAGGTACACATAGCTCTTTAAATTCTAGAAAGTCAACTAGAAAATCTGGAACACTCCATCCTTAGGTCGATGAAATAACATTCGCAAGAAGCGCTTTGCTTCCTTCTTAAACGTACAACAAATGAGTATTATGTACGGCAAGTGAAACTATAGAGGCATCTGTGTTTCCCAAATCTATAATTGGGACTATTCAAGGCTAAAGTGAATATGTATTTTTTAGACAAACGCATACTATCTATCGCATCATAGTAATAAAAAACAAGTAGTGCAACTCCCGCGTGTTCGGACATTTCAACCGTTAGTTGTGGAATTGCCAACGGAAAGTGGGCGTCCCTACAGCTCCGGTATCTATATGAAAAATATGTAGAGCACTGTACGTGCACCCGGGGCGGCTCACCCGACTAGACTATTGAGAACCGGATGAAGTCCTGTACACTGGTTGATCTGGGGTCAGAACTTGAATTTAGAAGGTTCCTGTGCACGCACAGGTTATAGTGCCCTTCTTCGTCGGTAGGGAGGAGAGATTTGACGTAATTTTTCAACCACCGTGCAAACGCTTCAATTCTGTAATGAATGACGTGTGCAACGACCTGCGCTAAGCAACGTGAGTGCACCGCGAGATAATGCGAATGTGTGCGTCCGTATAAGGCGCGCGGCGGGCGTGCACACATGCATACCCCGCTGCTACGGTTGTATGGAGTTACCCTATTTGTTTTATTACACTTTGGTCGCTCCTCATTTAACATCGAGTGAGATTGTGGCAAAGTGTGTATCTGTTTTTCATTTAAAAAAAAGTCATGTTGGATTATGGCCTGCACCTTCACTGCTGCTCATTGGGATGTACCGATATAACTAACAATACATAAAAGCATAAGTTTACATAACGCAATATTAACTAACGTAATGATTTCTTCGCACCCTTTGTGTAATAAGGCTACATTTACAAAATGACAACTTTTCGATAGAGAGGTTTGAAGACTCTTCGAACGAAATTAGCCGATGACTATATTATTCTTAATAAAAATGAAAGTAAAAGGTCAAATCGTGCAAAATAGCTGAGCTTGTGTTGAATATTTTTTCATGCAGTTAATTTCACCCGCCCTCCGCTTAAAATTGATAAAATAAATAATACAAGCGCAACTACAGCCACAGAAACCACTACCATATATATCCGACACGTGTTTCGCCTCTCTACGTGGCATCCTCAAGAGTTGTTGACTATTTGACACGCAGCCGAAGAATTAACATGGACTTCAAGTAGTGCTTGAATCAATAATTTTTAATGCTTACATAGCAGAGTTATAAAACACATAATTTGTTTCCTGTACTTATTATTTTCATGAGTTTTATGTAATAAGAGCACTTTTGACGTATGATCATAATTATGTAGCTTTATTATATCAAGGATACGATTTCATTACAATTCAAATAGCTAAGTCAAGATTGCTCCTGCTTACGACCAAATGGTAAGTATCTCGACAACAATGGTGTAAACTACTACAAATTTTTCTTACATGTTCTGTGATATAAACACATATAAATATAAAGGTATTTTAACTGCTGTGACGGATTAGTTATTAGTGAAATTGTGGCTTGTAGCAAGCTACCCTAGCTGTCCAAAAGGCTCACAAGTTTGATAATGACCCCACACTCTCATAAAATTAATAAACTTTTTGTGTAATAGGAATATAGGACCATTTATGAATGAGCATACTCGCTGTGTTCACAGTGTGTGTTCGAAACATCCCATCCCACTTTTAACTCATAAAAACGAAAGTTCGAATAAAAATATTATAATTACTAGCATCACATCGAGTATATAACCAGAAATAGAGACGAAATGTCATTTAATTTGTTTGAAAACTATTCTGCCAAATCATTACTGTTATCTGTGATCACATCACATCTGCGTTCCGATTGACCAGCCCGAATTCGAAACAATTGACGGGTGTCGTCAATTGTTTCGCTTCAAATCGACCAGTTGAACTGTGCTTTGTTATAATGGACGAAAATTGAAAAATTACATATTTAATATTTAATTACCGATGAAATGTGATTACGTTTGTTTTGTAATTAGATGTTTTTGCTGTTTTTCCCACACCACCGAATGGAACAGCCCCCATTGTTAGAGATATGATCTTTATAACAATAAATACAGAATATTTTTGGAATATACGGAGACGTACACACAGGTCAGTTGTTGGCGCTGTACTATTTTAGCTCTCTAATTTCTGATGTCAGCGCAAACGAGAGTTGATATTTAAAAGTGATATAAGGTCCATTTAATTGATGAGTTGCCAGGGATGGATGGCCTTTATTTCGTCTCTATATCTGGTTATCTCGATGTAGCACCACTACCATCCTTGTCTTAACCTAAAGAGTTTTTATCTTTGAAAAATGTCAATAAAATTGAAGATGTATAAAAATAGATTATTGGAAATTGTATATCTCATTTCGGTGATTCTAGATATATTAATAACTAAATTCCGCTACAAATGTTGATTACTTTAGTTATGATAAGGAAGACAGTATACTAGTCTGTATCAACTTGTCAGTCTATACGTACACGCTAAACAGAAAATAGAACTTGTAACTAGTGGTCGGATATTCGAATGATTACTTTTTTCACTTTTCCCGTGAATTTTTTTTTTTATAATATCAAGTTTTTTTTATAGTATGAAGTGAAGGGACGAACAAGTCGTGCGCCTGATGGTAAGTTACAAGCCTGTCCATAACAGTCGCTGTGCCACTCAGAGTTTTAAATCGCAAAGATCTGACGGGCACTGCCACTGCACCCGTCACCCTGGGACATAAGTTGACAAGTCACATGTGCCTGTAATTTCACCAGCACCCCTACCCTCTCTCTCTCTCTCACAAGAACTTCTATTGCTGGTAAAATGCTGATATCAAAATATAAAATCCGCTTCTTAAAATATATTTGTTCTTCTTTCATAAATCCCGCGTTGCCAGAATGTTGTGACATTTTGCGATTTTTATATTTTAAATACATAATAACGCTTTTTAAATAATGGCTCACTATAAACCTTAAACGTCTGATGATAACCAGGAATATGACAACTGGATTTCAGTGTTGTAAACAGATAGAAGTGTCCGATTTAAACGTATCTATGGCTTTGGTAAAAAAAAAGTTATCAAAATTTGAAATTTTTTT